GACTTGAAAGGGTTTTATGGCCGAGGTGGAGGAGACGCGGCCCCGCGCCTGCACTTGGCGGACGGCCGAGGGGGGCAGCATTGCCTTTTTCAGGCTGCTGCTCGGGCAAACCGGACGAAAATAGTCGGAGCATCTGGTTTAAATCAACCCAAAAGCATTTCTATCAGCTTAACCCACCATCCCACGGAACTGACAGAGCAGGACAAGCCAAATATATTCCCAGTCCCCTTTTAACACTGCGGTACGAGCTGAACCCTATCGCATTTTACCGCTGGGATTTTCTAAGCGTCCTAACGTACAACTGTCGTTATTTTATATACGTTGCAAATTAAACTTCCTTGTCTGAGGTTGTGTGTGGGCTGGTGCTCAAGCATTTGCATTTGCAAGCAACGCTCTGGATATATCGTCCTTTGGGGGGGAAAAAAATCGATGTTGAACCGTGAGGCTCTAGAATAGTAAAAAAAATAAAATAAGAAGGGTGAGGCTAACATATGGGTTGCTTATACTACTAAATATATAGCCGCATTTCCCTCCCTAACGCCCTGCTCAGAATTCCAAAGGCAAGTTGGGACAAAAGGAAAACGTGTCTTGGCGTAAAGGGGGAACTTGTGCCAAGAATTACAGTCACAGGGTAAATAACCTTGTTTCTCCTTCATCAGTGGCCGCTACCAAACCCCGCTCTTGGAAGGTGGCCAGCAGCCTGTCTGGTGGAGGGTGCTGCTAATTAGAGAGAGCCCATAAACCTCTGTCACACAGGGCATATGACCTTCCCTTCAAGTCTAAACAATGAGGCTGGCGAAGTGCAGGCTGCGCTTCACGCTGGCTGCCCTGCGGATTCCCTAAATAGGAACAGGATGGAGGCCGGGCTGGGGAGGTTACCATAGCTCAGCTCTCACGCTTTGAGGAATGGGCCACTCCACTTCCCAGTATAACTTGTTTCAATTACTCTATACAATCTATTTCGGGGAGACCAGCTTGCAGAGAGAGCTCACTGTCTAATCTAAATGAGGAAGCAATTACTTGCTGCAGTCGAACGTGCTTTGAGACTGTGGGTCAAATATCAACCAGATCTCATGCAACTTGACTTTGCACTTTGGAAGACACATCCTTTTCGTGACAATTTTATTTTTCACTGCTTTTCTGAAACACCCCCCCCTTTTTTTTCTATTGCGTTTACAAAGTTATTTTTTCCCCCCTCCTCAGACTTCAATGTCTTTTCTAATTTTAGAATTTGTTACTGCAAGGTAAAGACCACTTCTTCTGTACTTGCTTAATATTAAATATTTTAAAAATTATTTTTTTACAGGCATCTTTGCAGAATACAGCAAAATAGTCTTTCCTTCTTTGTCTAATTTACCTCCCTAGGAGCCCCCTGCAAGCTTTAATTTTACACGTTGTAAACTATAAATAATACAGCTCCACTTTCCTAGGACATGTGGAAACTTTTCCCTGCTATAATATGTCCTAACTGTACTTGCTTTCAACTTAAAAACTGAATAAAGTTCATCTCCTGTGTAAAAAGGCATTTGGCCCTTTTTGTGTGTTTTATTAGTTAAGACCCAGTATGGAATAACACACGAGAATTATTCTTGTCAACAGAGCGCATAAAAAGGTTTACAAGGTGTGGTGAGAGGAAGTCCTGGAGCAAAATGCTGGTGCCAAGGCGAGGAAGGAAAGCACTTCCTGAGAGGATACTCCTCCTGTTTAAGCTAGATCCTCTCTTCACATCTCTTCCTGTTTATCCTAACCGATAATTGACAATAAATTGTTTATTTTTCCTATGTAAAAAGCATCCTTTCCTTACTGAAGCTAGTCTTCAAACCAAATCAATTAACTTCAAATGTCTTAAAAAACTTCAGTTTAATCATCTGATAGATAATCTGAAATCTTTGTATAATACATGTACAGTTAAGCTGGTTAAGTATTCTGTGATTGCCAAGATAACCAAGTGTAACGGAAGTAACAACACAGAGTCTAAATCCCAAATTGCTGTGTCTGGGTCCCAGGTGAGTTACTACTGAGTCTTGTGTTGTTTGATACGGCAACACGCTGTACAGGTCTGTAGCCGGGGAGCAATAGACTACACCATAGTCTAGGGGTGTAGCAGGCTAAACTATACCATCTAGGTTTGTGTAAGTGCACTCTGTGTTCACAAAATGACGAAATTGCCTAAGGAAGGAGGCATTTCTCAGAATGTATCCATGTCGTTAATCAGTGCAAGACTATATATAGCAGGTCCTAGAATAACGAGTTTTCTTCAACATTGTTTTTATATAACCTTAATGAGGGGAAAAAGGAGATTCTTGGTGAGGCCCGTCTGTGTGCAGTTAGCACATTCCCCCCAAGTCTGCATGGGTTTTCCCTAGAGACCTCGGTTTCCTCCCACCTCCCAAAGCTGTGCACTTGAGGTTAATTGGCATGTGCGTTTCCCCAGTGAGCATGGGTGTGGGTGTGAGCCTGCCCTGTGATGGATGGGGATCCTGACCAGGGCTGGTTCCCACCTTTCATTGAGCTGCCAGGAGAGGCTCCAGCCACCGGTGCTGGGAATTGGAATCAGTGGGTTGAAAAAGAATTATTTCACTTATTATTAATCTTTCTTAAATGTATGTATGTAGGCTCGCATTTATTTCAATGTTTAATATTAGAAATGTTCTGTGTCTCCATTTAGAAGTTCGGTGAGGTTTTTGTGACTAGAAATATGCCACAGAAACTTAATTCTTGTTTCTATCAATTAGCCTGTGGTAAAGTTTGTGTTGTTACACATTGTTTTGCTTAAAGTGTCAGTTTCCAAGAATCTACTGATGGAGTTCAGTGAGGACTTAACTGTATACACACACACACACACACACACACACACACTAATAGATACCTACTGTTGACTCCTGGCACTACCATGATCTACTGTAACACTCAAGTTTAGAGCAGCACTCAGGTACTCCTGAGTATCTGAAATTAGGCCTAACATTCCAAAGGTGGGAAAAAATCTCCACCTCCATCCTGAACTCTTTCCCAGTACTTTGAGATAGCATCATGTGAAAACATAATTCAGCCAGATGCTCTAACCTGGCTTCATCAACTCCTCTCACTCACCTTTTCCAAATTTCAGCATTCAACAATGCTTGGAAGAGAAAAACTTCACAAAACCATCTGCTCTAGTTTTTCACCTCCCTTCCCTTTTCACAATCTCCTTTTTGTATTTCCCAAAGATACCGACCGGTTGAAAAGACAAGAAACTATGACAGTTGTGTCAGACTCAAGGTTAAAAGTCACCTTGAAAAATTTGCAAGGCTACAAAAAATGTAGTAAGGTTTTAAGAAATCCTGCCTTAAATAGAAGTAATGCCTGGAGCCCTGGCCTGTGTGGCTCAGTTGGTTGTGTGTGGTCCCATGTACTGAAACATTGTTGGTTCGATTCCCACTCAGGGCACATACCCACGTTGCCAGTGTGGGAGGCAAAAGACCATATTTCTCTCTCTCTAAAAAGATCAATTAAAAAAACTTAAAGTAATGCCCTGAGTACTGATGAGAGATGGTGATGACTTAAACTAGGGAAGTTGGAGGAGAGGTGAATGTAATGGTCAAATTCAGGATATACAGGGTGTCCCAAAAAATGTATATACATTTTTTCCCGACAGCTCAATTTACATTTCTTTCTTTTCAGATTTAACCCACTGGAATTAATAATTATTCAAAGTGGGTATTCATTTTTTGGGGACACCCTATATTTTGGAGAGAGCCCAAAGGACTTACTAATGTATTGGATGTAAGAGGTGAGGGAAAGAAGGAATCCAAGGATTAAGAGAAACCAAATAAATTGTTCAATAACCAAGAAGAAATTCCAGCATTAATAATACTAAAAGCATCCAAACATCTGGTGATAGTAAAATTTTTTTTATTAAAGCAAGAATTATTTTCCTTAAGTTGTTACACTATCCTACTTGGATATAGGCATTGTGCAGAACCATAACAGTGCTGCTGTACACAGTAGGCACTCAAGAAATAATTCTTGAATGAAAAACAAATCGATGCTAATTTGATTGGCACATATGCCAAAACACCACACTTCCCTTTTGCTTTCTACTTCCCCTCGTCCTTAATCTGGAACTGCCAGGCAGGTGAAGGGTAAACACGGCGATTTTCCTGCTTTTTCTGTTGAGCAGCCGTTTAGTATCCTACACTCACAGACGGTTATCAATCTTGTGCCTTAAAATTTCAATGCAAAGCATCATCTTACAAAAAGCAATTTAAAAAACATTACCAGAACCAGACCATGAGGAGAGTGTTTCAAGGCTAGAATATTGATAGGGAGGTAAAAGGGCAGAATGTTTTTCAGGGAACAATGAACCGGTCTCTGACATGACTTTTGTTCCACGAATCTTTCTCAAGAACAGTGAACCACTTAAACGGAGAATAAAATACTGAAAAAAATGCTGCAGTTTATATATCCATGTGTTTTTTAGAATTTTTATTTACATTTCTGACTCCTTTGGAATATCACAAGGATGTACCTCCTAATAAAAAAAAAATCTAACTCTGTTTGGAAACACTTTATCACACACTATATACCAAAATGAAGTCACACAAAGAAACTTTTTTAAACAGGATTTTCCTCTAAAGCTTAAATGTGAGGCAAACAGATGCATGACTTTACAACTGATGAAACCTCGGAACAGTCCCAGGATACATAGAACTAAATTTTGTGTTGTATTTTATGCCTGAGGCATCTAACCAAAACAAATTGACGGCTAGGATTTCTCTACTGATTGTTTTTCCCTGCCTTCCCTTTCCAATGTCCAAATTTAACAATTCAGTGTTTCTTCTAATCTTATGGATGAGCATTCCAGAATGTATGTGGTTTTTGTAATTTGCTCTGTGATTTGTAATCTTAAGTGTGTGCATATATTGTCCATTATTTAATCAAATCATACTTAATAAATAATATCAATTCATGTAACCCAACATATGTACTCTGACACAAGAACAAAAAACCAGCACAAGTTGTCACTAATAAAATGAGTTTATTTTATATTAAAGTTTTCAAAAACACAACTGTAAAATTACCCCTATATTAGGCCTAAAGATAGACTTTACAAAGAGTTCGCAAAACTGCTTTTTCTTAACTATTAAAGTACATAGATTTAAAAGGTTTTAGAAGGAAAAATGTTAATTCATGGTCAACATTTAAAGAATTAATACACATTAAATCTGCAGGATGCCTTGGAAGATTATATCTTAAAAATATTTAGAGAAAAAAAGCTGTATTTTCCTTTCAGAAAACTTTACTCTTAAATGCTGTTTATTAAGAAATATACACTGAGCACCACACTAACAATGATCTCAAAATTTAACTACTAGTCTTGCAAGTCAATCAGCCCACATAGGAGAAAACAGGAAATTGCTTTCTAATACATATTAACTCCTAATACTCCTGATAAAATAAAAAATTTAGTCCATTACGATTAAACATACAAATTATTGATATTAAAGATAAGATACTATTGTATTGTTTTTGATAACACAAAAGTTCAAGCATTCCAGAAGCATAAACTGTGTTATTCCAAACGAAAAAGAAAAAAAAAAAGTAAAGTAAATATATTTGCTTAACCAATGTCTTACAGAAATTTTAGAATATTTACATACTTTATAACACTGTAGAAATCTTTGGTGGTGATATATGGATTAAGTTCCCTGAAAATACTTTAATAATTTTGTTCCATCAATCTATGTAGTCAAGTATTCGTAATTAGTCATGCTGGCAGTATCATTTTCTAGCCAAATCCACGTACACATAGTGAAGTGTATGGAGGAAATCTGATGCAGGACCCAGGCAGGTTTACGTAATTAATTACTTAGCAATTAGGCTTATTTCTGGCTCATTTTTTATACCAGAAAAAATAAACTAAAGGATAGATCAATTCTTACTCCCAAACTCTGGAAATAGTTGATATTAATGAACAAGTTGAATGTATATATGATAAAATGGCTACAATTTCTGGATAAACTTTAACAGCTATCAAAATAGTAGCTTAAATAGGCTTGTGCAGCATCTGATGCCCATTCACCAAGTGGTGGTGGTGGGAAAGCAAGGCACTGTGGTCTGGGGATAAATTTACCTCTTCTAGAAGCAGGAAACTTAAAAGCAGAGAAACAAAACATGACCTGCTCTACCTTAAAAGAAACTAAAATGTATAACCTTATCACACAAAATTCAAAGGAAAGGGCATGCTACCATACATAAAAGAAGCAAAATTTAAGAAATGTAAGAAAAGGAGAGGAAGAAGGAAATGACAGAATAGCAAAATAATATCACCGTATTTAAGGAGGTAACCAGCAGAAATGTATCGGAGGAAGCACTGTGTGGACAGATACGATTAAACAGAAGGACTTGCATTACCTCTTTGAAAATGGTGTTGTCTTTGATTAAATGTTTTGATTCTAGAAGTGCAGAGGGCTGCGTAATTCCTCCAATTGAGAAAAGTATGAGCTTACTATGATTAGAGAATAGGTATAATAATGGAATTGGACTTGAAAATGATAAAATGGTGCAAATCAGACCCCATAGGCAATGTTTTTGATACAAAGTCACTTACATGATCTTGCCAGGTAATTTGACAAGAAAGAAAGCAAGGTGTAGCGTTTATATTGATAAGTCTAGGATTATGCAATATAAATAAAACTCTCTTCCAAGAGTTTATCACCAGAATTCATAGGAATTTTGAACACAAATTAAAGAGTCTTTCCAGAAATTAAGAGGCTAAAAATTAATTAGTCAAGGTAAAGTAGGTGAAAATACTCATAGAAATAAACTTTGGGAGAAAAGAAGTTGAATGAATTTTTATTTGTCATTAAATATCAAGAATGTGAGATAATCTAGAAAATATTTTAAGACCTGTGTCAAGAGAAGTGTCTGAATTATACTAAGGTAATCCTGAGTAAACATTCTGCTCTTTGCCAACACTCTGAAGAGGTTCTGAATACACACTGGCACCTGGCTTCATTTCTTAAAAGGTAGTAAGGTCGAAGATCTTAACAAATCTCTCTCTTTGTTTTTTCTTTTGGACAAACAAGTAGAATTGTCAAGTAAGTTACCTGAACAAGTATAATTGTACAAATTTCATTACTGATCACTAAAACCATCACCAGAAATCTATTGACTTGGGAGTTCATAATGCAACCTAAAAATCCCTCATAGCCCAGTGACTCAAAAATAGCTTGGATTAAGAAAAATGACATTGTTCTAGTATCTCTTCTAATAGCTTCTAATATGTGAGATTAACGACATCTGTATTTTGCATTGGCAACTATCTTCAGGAAATTATCTCATCCAGAAAAGAAGTGATTCAAGTGATTCTAGCTAATGCCAGATTTATTAATCAGAAGCACACATAAGTGCCAAGCTTGTGAATGGATTGGCTGTTAGATATTTTCATTAATTAGAAGAAACCTAAGTGCTACACTGGTCTCAGACTCTATTTTATAGAAGCTACCACTTTTAAAATCTGAGAATGTAACCAATGTTAATAAAAAACATGCTGAGTTCAACTACAATGTATAGCTAAGTATAGAAGAATGGTTAATGACCAAAATAATTTATCTGTAAGGAGATAATTAAAAATAGCTAAAAAAATTAGCTATATTTATACTATTAAAACCAGCAAATTTAACAAACAAAACCCACAGGAAAGGAGATGATGTAACTCAAGGCATAAATCTTACATGTCAGAATATGACAAATAATAAAGACAGTGTCAGCAAAACTTAAAATGTACAGTCATAAAATAAGTAAACAATTTTCAAGTGTGCAAAACTAGTCAGGAATAAAAGTGCTATGTGAATACCTGGTTTTCAAATATTTGTTTTGAAAACTTTCAGTTGATGGTGGGAAAACCATAAAGGATTAAAAAAGTAAAAATTTAAGAATATATAAAACATACTTTATCTCACATCATGCCCCTGTGCTGTCACTGCTGGATCAGAGGCCTATTTAATGACTTTCCTCATGTGACAGCTGCAACATAAATGGAGGTAAACAATACAACACCACAAAGGCTGGTGTATCTTGAACCATAAAAAGACTCTTTTCAAGTATACTGTGGGTTTGTGTTTCCTCTGATATCCCAGGCACTCAATGTTGTTCATGAATTTGAAAATAGTTAACACAATTTTCTATTATTTCTGATATATATATTTTGCATAGCTACCTTTAGTAGTCAAGATTTGAACGTAATTGTTAAAGAAATAAAAAGTATTTAAGTTGATGAAAGTAAACCCTATCACTGCCACAATTTATTGCATTATTTTAATGTGTAAATCCTGAATATAATGGTTAGGAAAAAAAGTTGATGCGTTAGCATAATTTGTCTTGGGATACTTGAAGCACACATGGCTAAAAATACACCTGTGGTCTCTTCTTTACTCTATACTTCAGCGACCCATACCGTGCCTGAAGAGAGAAATGTGTTATTACAAATTAGATGATTACTTTTTGAAATTATTTAAGATTTAATAGTTCATAATCACAGTAATCACTTTTTAACTTTTCTGATATAAATAATTATTCTATAAGTTTGTCTGCAGAAGACAACATTGGTTCTATGTTGGATATATGCTGATTATTACCACTAATAACAAAAACACTAACTGTTATTATTTAGGTTTTGCTTGGTACACTGCTCACAGTAATCTGAGGCCATTCCCTGGAATCCTCCACTGCTTTATGGGCACAAAAACAATATATAATTACAAACTGTTACTATTTAATCCACATGTGCGCTGGTTCAAAGCAAACTATGTACTTAATTTTGTTAGTTGCTTTTATTGCTTAGGCGTAGGGCTAGTACTGGGTATTTATGACAATCATATCATTTGCTGTGTGAGAGTGCCATTTTCTACGTATAGTGGAAGACTAGGAATTTCTAAATTTCCAGAGATCTGAATATATCTGATCTGAATAAAGAATTTTAAAAATAACTGGGGCTCTGCCATTCCAGTCCTTCATTTACGGATCATTAATATGCTGAATGATAATGCAGCAGGGAAATCCTTCAATATTAATCACTATGAAAACAACTCTGTAATGGACTGACCTCTTTGCGGGCCTTCACGCTTTTCACAGACTTCATGCTTTGTGATCTTCGAAGCCCTTTGTGTGTTACCATCTCGTCGTCTGAATATGGCCCGTCCGCTTCTTCATCTGTCTTCTCATCCCCATCTCTGAGCGGGATTCCATAACCTAAACGAGTTGTCAAGATCAGCACGTTTTGGTAAGAAGACGCCAGGCAGTGCCGCCTCTTAACTGCAGTTCTCTGCGTGGCCTGCATTTGCCCAGCTACTCCTCCCCCTTTTCCCTGCAATGTGCCCCTTGCACTATTCTAGACAAAGCTCACTCTCATTTCTTCCAGGAATTTTTCCCTGACCATTCTTTTTTACTGTGCATTTTTAAGAATAAATAAAAATAATTTTTGAGTAGGTCACACATTTATTTGTTCAAAAAAAAAAAAAAATCAAAGAATATAAATAGATATATAGTAAGAAGTCTCTTCCTGCCCTCTCTCCTTTTCGTGAATTCAAAAAAACCTAAGCAACTGTGTGTTTTGGTCTGTCACTTGTACCTTTGACTTTAGTTAGGAATTAAGGGTTTTCCGCACCCCACGTGGCAAACCTTTTGACCAGATTAGGAATGGCAGGGTGAACTTCCACAGCCATATAAGACACAAAGGGGTTAGAATTTTGGGCAGGTGCACTGGGGGCAGGTGATAGAGCTGTTGAACCATCACTGCTGCAGCCGCTGAGGTAAAACCCAGACAGGCTACAGTGATTAGAAACACCACAGGCTATGACGCCAGATGTTAGTCACAAAACGAGGCAGTGTCAGGAAGGGCAGTAAGAGATTGTGTGGCTGTGCTGCTGTGTGTAGCCACAGACTTAACATTAGCAAATACGCCGACCTCTGGGCTGTCAGGATGTCTGAGCGCATCCTGACGCTGGGGTTCAGGGACAAGATCGTTCCTATTTCTGAAGCAGATGCTCTCAAACTTTAGCAGATTATTACGAGTCACCTGGAGAACATGTTCGTTAATATGCAGATTGCTGGGCGTGAGACGAACCGAGATTCTACATTTCTAACCAGTTCCCAGGTGATGCCTGTGCTACTGGTGTAGCGCCTACACTTCAAGAATCAGTGCCTGGATGGGGCAAAGGAGGGGCCCAAGTATAAGGCACAAGGCAACCAGAGCGCCAGGTTATAAAGACAGAGGTGAGGTTACAAGGCCCCATTAAGTTTCAAGTTCTCCTGTTAAAAAGGACCACAGCACTGGCCAGTGTTGCTCAGTGGTTAGGGCGTCAGCCTGCGAACTGAAGGGTGGTGGGTTCGACTCTCAGTCAAGGGCACGTACCTCAGTTGCGGGTCCGCTCCCCACACCAGCTTGGGGTGCGTGCGGGAGAGGGAACCAGTCGATGTGTGTCTCACATCGATCTCTCCCTCCCTCCCTTCCACTCTCTCTGAAAAGCAATGAAAAAAAAGTATCCTTGCATAAGCATTAACAAAAAAAAAAGGTGAGAAAAAACCAGCAGGTTTTCCAGGATCAGAAGGGGACAAGGGATGGGCTTCCTGTGTGTGAAGAAAAAGATACTAAATGTTCATTAATCTGCTCTCCCAGGACACTTAACTGGAGACTCACTAAGCAAACCACAAGTTGTTAATAAGCCTCTTAGTCTTGTAATAAGACAAATATCTTTGTATAATAAGCGAGCACATAAGACAAATATCTTTGTATTATTAAGTTAGTACAGTTTTATGCTGCCAGATTTCTACACTAGAAATTAGGAAGGATTTGGGAGTAGAATCAGTCATTATTGAGGCCAGGATCCTTTGTTTTCCTGCAGCAGTCCAAGGAAGTAGGTTGTAGGGAGCAGAGATAGCATGTGCAAAGGCCCTGGGGCAGGGGAAGCATGAGGAGGCCAGTGTGGCCCAGGGAGGGGATGGATTAGTCGTCCTGGGAAAACGCTCCTGATACAATATTAAGTGTGTGTGTGGGGAAATGTACATATAGAAACCAAAGAAAAATGTAAAAATGACCCCACTGCAACTCGTGGATGTGGGCTTTTAGATGATTTTAAGTTCATTTTTCCTTTTTTTTAAATCTGCCAAATTTTAATTTAAAAATTGTATTACTTCTACAATTGGGGAAAATAAACCAGAAAAAAATGTCTTCAGGTTGTCATTTCTAGATTTTTCTTATTGCTACTAACTTATATAATATTCCTGATCCCAATCTAGTACAACTAAAGTAAAACAGAAAATGAGGAATTGAGTCAAAGAGGAAGCTCTGTGACCAGAAAGTTCCCCAAGGCCACAGATGGAAGCACAGACTACAGTTCAGAAAACATGACCCTTGATATTTTAATCGTCTCTTGTTTTATATGATTTAGGAATTGGAATTTCATTCAAAAGATGATTACACATAAATCTTACTCTTTCTGTGTTTCCTAATTTCAGTGAGAAAAATCTTACTAGCTTTTAAAAAAAATCCTCACCCAAGGATATATTTTTATTGATTTTGAAAGAGAGGAGAAGGGGGAGTGAGAGAGAAACATCGATGTGAGAGAAAAAACATTGCTCGGTTACCTCCCATAAGTGCCCTGGCCCAGGATTGAACTGGCAACCTAGGCAAGTGCCCTGAAAGGGAATCGAACCCGCAGCCTTTCCGTGTACGGGGCAACGTTCCAGCCAACCGAGCCATATGGCCGGGGCCTTACTAGCTTTCTAATTACGGTTCCAGGGAAAGTGAGGACTTCATTCTTTCTTCTACAAATACTTGAAAAATTCTACTATGTGTGAGGCAGTATGTTAAATCATGGGAATAAAATGACAAGAAAGACACAACTGTCATTTTCTACCCTAAGATACTTACAATCCAATAGGGGAGACAGACTCTACTGGGCATCAATCCTGTAAGAGATGCCACAAATGGAAGGTAAGGACGAGGTGCTACTGGAGCACACAGTAAGAGAACTCACTCAGCCCGGGGGCGGGGGACGTGGGCTGTGAAAGAAGACTTCTTGTAGGAGGTGGTGACTAAGAGAAATCCTGAAAGGCTCATGATTCTATAAAGCCAGCACATGGCGGAGTGGGAACAAGGCCGGGAGCTAATATACCACACGCTATTGAGTCTGGATTTCATCAGCGAGCAGTGGGGGAGGGCGGAGCACTGAAGCATGTTAAGCAGAAGGGTGACATGATAAGATCTGGATTCTTTAAAATATTCTTGCACTTTGGAGAATAAATCACAAGTGGATGAGACTGAAAGCAGGGGGGTTACTGCAATATGGTAGGTCGGAAATGACGAGGTCCAAGGAGTGAACACAGAGAAAGTAGCCAAATGTGGGAGGTGAAATATTAAGTTTAACTTGGCAACTTAGTAAACAAATCCCTGCAGCCAAAAGAGGGGAAGGAGTCAAGCCAAATATCCTCACTAAAATATGAATTTTCTATTCCACTTCATACCTGGAAATGAGTATGCATGAAAATTTTGCTGTGAGTGCTAAAAAGAATGTTAGTCAATGTTATGTGAGTATTTAAAAGTCTTTGGAGGACGAGAGGGAGACCTGAGATTATGAGAGAATCCCAAATTGGGGTGCCGAATCGAGCAGGAACTCAGGGAGTCAGTTGGCTGAAAGGTTTATGGGTCTGCCAAGCCCGGGCAAGGTAACTGGTGGGACAGTGCTGGTTGGTGCCATACAAAGGCAATGCTAAGGCTGCTTTAAATCATCACTCTAGCCTGGAGAGAGCCCTCAGTGCGGTGCCTTCCACGCATATTCCTGAGAAGCAGTGACTGGGGGCCGAAGAATGGGGAGCCTGTGCTGCCCCCCCCCCCCTCCGGGCCGGAGGCCGCAGCTCTTGGGCTAGCTTCAGCCCACAGCTCTGTGACCATTTTAGAAAACTAGCAGATCCTTTTGCAAACTGACCTGGTTTTATTCACAGTTTGTACAGCTTAGAGTTGGCAGATTCTACGTTTTCTTTCCTTAAAATAGTCAGTATTGATCCAGTACTTAGCATGTACTGGGCACTGTTCTAAACAGTTTCCATGTATTAATGTAAGTGCAGAATCATCGAGAGTTTGGCTTGGAAGGAGCCTCAGCTATTGTGGTGGAAGGAGTCCTGGACCCATGTGAGGAGAAATGAGTACTTTGCCATCTATCAGCTGTGAGACCCGGAGCTGTGCCTTTCTCCAGGCCTGCTTTCTTATCTGGCAAGGTGGTGAGACAGATGAGACGATGAATGGGTTTCTATGTCAGTGCCAACTCCGAGCCAGCTGTCTGAGCCAGTGTGGGAAAGTGCCACAGTCCATTAGCAATGCCTGTCACCATGGGCATGGGAGCAGGGAGCAGGCATGTCACCTATTTGCCACCTTTGACTAAAGCATCTCTAAGATCCCTTCCTGCTCTAATTACTTGAATTCATGGTTTCAGCCCAAGTGTCTCACTAAATGTAGCCTCATTATAAATTAAAAAGAATAAAAATTAGCTTAGGAACCTTGGATACCTCATTTCTGTCATTGAGTATGTAGCCTTTAATAAATAGTATAATCTCCTTAAGTCTCAGTTTGTTCATTTACAAATTTAGGAAAAAATACTTAACCTGCATAGTCATCTTAAGGATTAAATAAATATGTAAAGCACCTGAAATAAATTAAAAAATCTCTGTATGCACTGGTATTAAAATTGAATGCTGAACCACTTGCAACTAATATGGGGGCAGTGGGTTCTTTGCAGATATTTCCACTTATCAAAATATGATGTTCTTTCAAGGGACGTGAACTTCATGTTCAAGGCGTCCATTGTCTTACAAGAAAGAATGCGGAGGGAGCTCTTTTTCCTCCCATATTGACAACATGCAGATTTGAATAATTTCATCAAAGCAGGAGGACTTCTCTGGATCAGCTAAACTCCAGCTACTCAGAGCAGGGCATGGTGAGTTTTCAAAGGGAACCGCTTTTCCAGATATTTGAGTTTGCTTGTATGAACTATCAGAGCTTCTGAGCTAAATGTACTGATCACATGAACCAGTAAACAGACTTTGCAATGTGAATGTAATTCTCACACTTAAAAACCAACCAATTTATTTATTTTTTTCTTGAGGAATTTTGGAAATAAATGAAATAGAAAAAAATTCATGATAAAAAAATGAGTACCTAATTATTTTTCAAAAGGGAGTGCTGTTGTTTTATTTCTAATTTTCAGTGATAGGTTGAATTTTTTCCAAAATCATTAAAATTCTACTCAGAGCTAAACACTGTTAATATTTTAGTAACATCCTCCCAGACTCTCTACTCTGTATGCTCATTTGAAAAATAACTACGTATATTAATGCATTTCATCTATCTACTGTGTCTCTATGGCCCAGGATTATAACCACTGTTCCACTGTTATTGTTTATTCTCCCACAATCTGGTTATATTTTCATGTCAGTAAGTAAAACTGACATTATTATTTTTCACGGCTAATAAACCACCTTTCTGCTTAACCATTTCTCTTAGGTATTTGGTTTGTTCCAACATTTTGTTATTATAAACAACGAGAGGAACATTCTTGTACATGCACCTTTTTGAACACTGTGGGATTACTTCCTTACGGCGTATTTCTAGAAGTTTCTTGCTTTAGAGAGGATAAACTTTGATAATTATTTTGCCAGATTACCATCCAAAAGGATTATTCCACTTTAAACTCTCATAAAAAGTATATGACTGTTTGTTTCCCAACATTCTTGTAGTGGTGGTTTTGAAACATGTCCACAAATTCTGACACTCTTCTCTTGGGACACTGGCTCTGGGAGCCTTCAGCTGCCAGGTGAGAAGTGCAGTGAGCCTCAGAGACCATGGAGAGAGAGAGATGCCCGAGAAGCCCCAACTCCACTGCT